AATTAGTGCCAAATTAAGCAACTTATTTATTGAATTAAAAAAATGTGTGATTAAAATTTTTTTTCAACATACCTGGAAGGGTTTTGGATCCACATCCATTGGTCAAGAGGTAGCAAAAATTAATGAGGAAGAAAATATATCTTGGGATAGTAGGAATGTTGGTGTGATAGAGTTGAATAATGGCATCTTTTTCAAATTGATGACAACCTCATTTTCAACAATAGCACTAATGAATTTGCTTTTGAATGTGTAGAAGTTCTTTACATCATAAATCCTACCTTCTTCTATTTCACGTGAGAAGTGAGCGATGTCTTTGGTTTTGTCGAAGCCTAGATTGTTCCCCTCTTAAAAGCGAGTAGAAAGAGCCGTCATTCAAAGACAATATTTATATAATTTAGAGGAACATGTAAGGAATAAATGATGAAAGAAAATGCAAGGTGTGATAGCTTGACAAAATTATTGATATGTTATTTGGGTAAAGCTCACACATCACTTGTATAATCTCTAACATAATATATGCGATGTTGGTCTCGTTATTGTAGGTGCCCGAGATCTAATTATGTTTGGATGGGCTTGAGTTAATGTATTATTGCATTATTTATGTCAATAAAAATAAAAAATTTATTCTATTAATTCTTATATTTTATGTTTGTAAATTTAGTAGAATTAGATAGAAGTCCTTATGATATGCATTTGCAATAGTGATTGATCAAAATATGTGAGACAAACACTAATGCATATAAATGATATCATTAAATGTCTCAAGCCTTAGCATTATCAAGAATAGACATTGACTATATGCGGATAGACTTGTGAGTGCTATGCTCATGCTATATGATAGCAATAGGAGATCTCACACCTATTTGCATGGTGATGCCAAAGCAAGCACTTAGTTGATTCATGTTAGAGAATATATCACTAGACTTGACTCGTCATGAGAACCCATTTGGTTTCGGTCTATGGGAATCTCATACAAGATGAGTACAAATGGTCCTTAGACTTGAAGTTATTATGGTTATCTCATTAGAGGACTTATGCACTTTGACACTCATTTTGATGGACCTATTAAAGGGTTGCATGTGGACGATTCGTTAGATGCACAAGGAATCTAATGGAGGTAGGTGTATGGCCAAGATAGGATGTGTCATTCCTTGTATGCTCAAAGAGTTATCACATTGCACTTCGATAAATGTCCACTTGAGAAATCTGTGACCACGGTAGGAGTACACCAATAGAGCATAGTTGATTTACTCTAAGAGTTAAGATATTTAGAAATTAAAAAAAAACTTATGTGATGATAATCGAACAAGACTTATAACTAAGTTCGAGATCACACTCGTTATAAGTTGATATGAAGACCGAATTGTATGGTAAATATATTCATGAAAGGTAATAATGGATTAATTAATCCTCTTAGAAAATTAGATAGTCATGATGTCTTGCTAGAGGTCAATCTTGATTTATGTATCAAGATATAAAAAAGGAGTCTTTTATTCTTGATGCATTACCAACATATCTAGGAGCCTATTGAGTCACATGCATAAGTTTAAGTATTCACATTATAAATGAGAAGCAAAAAAATATTGAAAATTTTTTTCAATTATGAAAGTTTCTTGTTTTAAGAAAGGTTTTGAAATAAAAAGTTTCCTTAAATAAGAAGTTTCTTAAAATAAAAGTTTCCTAAAATGAAAAGGTTCCTATTTTAGAAATTAGTTTCTTAATTTGGAAGTTAGTTTGAAATTTGAAAATAAATAACCTAAAATGGAAATGAGTTTCCTTAATTTAGGTTAAAGGGTATTTTAAAAAATTGTTTCCTAGTGTGGACCCATCTAAAATAATCTAAGATTATTTATTGGATAGTCCAAATAAATAAATTAGGCTAAAATGGTTTAGCCCATTAGGTTTAATTAAAAGCCTTAAGATATTTTAATTGGAGGATAAACATTAACCTTATTGGATAATGATGAATGTTTTATAGATAAAGATAAAAAATTCCACATGTAAAAATAACTCATTGTCCTTGGAGGACAAGGAAACTCTCCTCTTATAAATAGCGGGAGAGGTGCGGCATAAAGAGTGAATAATTGAGGAAAGAAAATTCATCCATAACTAGAAAATTCGTCCTTATTGGATAGAGGTACTCGTATCTATAGTGTTAGATAGGGCCATATAGTTTAGATCATAGTTTTGGAGGAAACTCCAAGAGGCATTAGGTATTCGACTTGACTTTAGTACTCGCTTTTCATCCGCGGACATATAGTTAGTCGAGTGTACAATCCGGACACTAGAGGACATGTTGAGAGCATATGTTATAGATTTTGAGGGTAATTGAGAGCATCATTTACCTTTGATTAAGTTTGTCTATAATAATAGCTATCGGTCTAGCATTGAGATGGCTCCATATGAGGCTTTATATGGCAGGGAGATGTAGGTTTCCTATCCGTTGAGAAGAAGTAGGAGATAGAAAGTTGTTGGGTCCAGAAATTGTACAATTGAGTACGAAAAGATAGCATTGATTACGGAGCATCTTAGGACATCTCACGAGTAGGCAAAAAAGTTATACAAATCGAAGAGAAAACATCTTGAATTTAGTGTTGGTGATCACGTATTTCTTAAGGTGTCACCAATGAGGGGGATCATGCGGTTTAGGAAGAAAGGGAAGTTGTCTCCTAAATACATTAGACCATTCGAAATACTTGGAGAGAGTGGGAGCGAGTGGCTTATAGATTGGCTCTTCCACCGGACTTTTCGAGAGTCCACCTAGTATTTCATGTATCTATGTTGAGAAAGTATGTGATGGATCCTTCACATATAATCGAATCATAAACTGTTGAGCTAAGTGAGGATTTGAGTTATGTGGAGCAACCAATTACAATTATGGATCGTCGAGTTAGAAAACTTAGGTTTAAAGAGATCATTTTAGTTAAGGTTCAATGGAGAAATCATTCTATTAAGGAGGGCATGTGAGAATCGGAAGACGAATACGAGACAAGTATCCACATCTATTTTAGATTCAAGGTATGTAGTCATTTCAAAATTCGAGAATGAATTTTTTTTTAAAGGGGAGAGAATGTAATGCCCATAAAACCAATAAGTGACTTAAATAGGGGTTTTTAAATGAGGGGCATTAGGGTAATTTAAAAAAAGAAACAAAAGGAGATATTGGTAGAATGGTTTCTAAATGAAACCATTAGAAAGAAACAAAAGAAAAAAACGAGAAAGGGAGAAGAGAAAGAAAAAGAAGAAAAGAAAGAAAGAAGAAGTAAGAAAAGGAGAGAGAAGACTTACCGACGACCACCCACTCCGCAACGGCTCCGGCGACAACAATAGTGGAGTAATTCGGATAAGAAGAAGAAAAATAAGGATAAAAAGATATGGAATAAGGAAGAAGAAAAAAGATGTATCAAGTTTGTTTTTGAATGTTTTTTCGAATGTTTTAGCTAATAATAACCTTAATTAGAGATGGGTTGTATATAATTTAGTAAATTTCATCTTGAATTAGAAATTTGAATTAGGGAATTAGGATTTTGTTAAAATTAAGGTTTATGTTAGTTTAGGAATTTTAGGAAAAATGTGTGAATGGGTAATTTAGGATTTAATTAAGCTTGAATCTTAATTTTTTAGATTTTAATTATTGTTATTTATGACAAATGTAAATTTATGATAGAGGTAAGAGAGGATATGACGGAAGAAGCTACTTAAGGAAGAGATAATTGCAAATTGGGGTGTTCATATAGATTAGAGGTAAGTATAACACCTATTATGAGTCTTTACTATCATATATGTCTATATTGCTTGTGAGGTGAAAAATTGATTGTATGGATAAATGCTTAATTATTACAAATAATTACATATGAATTGAATTATTTAGTATGGGTGTTCTTACCATAAGCTAAATGAATTGAATTTGTATATTGCCATATAAATTATGGTTATTAAAGAGAATATGGTACATTGAATGGTATATGTGCATATTGATACGATGATCACTTGCATTAAATGGAATTGTGTGATTGATATGTACTTGAATGAGAATAATGATATTGATGACTTAAAAGAAAGTCTATGCAAGACTAACTAAGCTAATAGGGTTATAGTTAGCCTAGGTGCACCTAGTATTGCCTGTTAGTGGAATGGCCGCAATGCTTCTCTCGTAGTTTACCTGCAGGGGCCAAAGTTTAAAGTTTACCCTTGCGAGGGCTAAAGTTACCCTTTTGAGGGGTAAAGGAATAGACAATTCCGCATAGAGTGATTTCAAATGAATATGCTATTATTAATTGTTAATAAAGAAAAAAAAAGTTATTGATGACTTGCTTGGTTGCAAATCATGTATGATAGGTGCATTAACATAATTGTATGTATAACGATTTATAATATGTGTTATGCTTACTAAATTTTGAAAACTTACCCCTTAAACCTCAAATGTTTTGTAGATAATACAAAAGCTTAGATAACGTAAGGAGAACAATAGATTTTCTAGATTTAGAGGTACCATCGGATATTATTTTGCTTCCTGCAGGTCTAGGACATGGTTGTTTCAAATTTGTACTCATTGTCCATTTTTGAATTGTAATAAGTTATTATACATTTTATTTCACTTAGTTGCTTCGTTGATAGTATCACCAAATATAAGGCTAGTTAGTGGAGGTTTTTTCATATATGTATTTTGAATCATTAAATAGTGAATTATGGATTTATTTATGTTAAATCTTGAATTATATGATTGTTAGTTAATTTAGTATGTGATGAGCATTGTGAGAAAGTGTGAATGTCCAATGACGAGACTTGATGATGATTGAGAATTGACGAAGATGATTTGAAAGTGTATGTATATTGTGGATTTTTATGTAGGATATATATTATTTTTCGAACCCTCCAATTATAGGAGAAATGCTGCCAAAATTTCGATAGAAAATGAAGAAAAGATCAAGGCTCACATAGCCTGTGGTGAGTCACCTCATCTCAGGCTACGTGTCGGTTGCGGCTAGTCAATTTGGGTCATGACATATGCTGCCAATTTTGCTGGAAGTGATGAGCATTCTGGGGCCTGGGAGAATGGAGAAGAAAGGCAACCAAAGAAGAACCAGCAAAACCCATTCCTTCGCAATAGAATCGAAGATGAGGGGGAAAAAATCAAAAACGAACTGGAAAAGAAAAACCCAACGAACCTTATAAAGAAACTCCTAGCCAGAGGCAATAATAACCAAGGAAACAAAGAGATAGAGAAGCGATTCGATTAAAAACGAACAACTGGGCCACCCACGATGAGCAAGGGGGCTAGGAGAAAAAGGAAATGATGTAAGGAAAATTTTTAAAAAGAATTTTAAAATGGAAGACAAAAGTGACATGAGGTAGCAACATTAAATGACGCCTAAAATGGGAAGAAAAACAATCAGTGGGCCACCCGATGATGAAGAAGAAAAGATGAGGAAATGTAGGAAAAAATGAAATAAAATTGAGAAGCAACGAAAGATGAATGAAAAAAAAAGACATAAAAGATAATAATTAAATGGAGAATGATAACAGAAGCAGAATGACCAAAAAACCAATGGTAGTTGTCAAAAATAGAGGGACAACACAGGGGCAAGAGATGAGCAAGGCTGAACACCAACAAAAATAGGAAATGCCTAGACTAAAAGATAATGAATCGAAGGTCGAAGAAGGGCCATATGAGAGGAAGAACAATCCAAGGACTGAGAGACAGAGCAAAGAGGCATACAAGAGAGATGTCCTGCATCCACAGTAAACTTGGATGTGTCTGAACAATTAATGATTAGTGAACCAATCATATCTTTTAGTTTTTCTTATTAATAGTGTCATATTTATTAATTCATTAAAATCTCATTCATTAATAAAAAAATATGTCGTGTTTAAAAATTGATTGACTAGCAACTGTGAATTCCATCAATTTTGAATGATTGGTTAAGCTTGAAAAGAAAAAATCGGAAGTCGATTTTTCTCGAAATTTTGTATTATTTTATTCCTACTTGAAGGTAAATATGAAAATGAATTTCTTAATGGATCAGTGAACCACAGTTTTCGTTTGCGTTTTCTAGCAAGCCCCAAATTGATTTTCAAGACATGATTTGGAGAGGAACAACTTGTGTTAAGGACTAAAACACTCATTGCCTACTATCCTGCCCCTACACAAATCATAACATGATCAAAACAGAAACTTGAACCACAAGATTTCCCGTTCCAATCTTTAACCAAGACCTGCATTTCTATTGATATTATATACAAAGGTCGAGTTCCAGGCACAAAATAGGCCACATCACTTCCTGGGATCTTTAAATGATAAAATTAGGGTAACAAAGTGTGATGGTCAATCTATAGTGTATAGCCTCTCAATTCCATCTCTTAGAATTCTTCGACCCTTTTGACTTCTGTTTAGCAGCCTGAAAGGCTTGCATTTTTTGTTTCTTCCGAGCTTCCTTCTCAGCCTGTTATAAAAGACAACAAAACTTTTGGCTCAAATCACCACCATTGTTTACTTTGTAATGGGACTAAACAAGTGGATAGAACTCACCTTTGACATCTTGGATTTGGCCTTGACTTTGGGAGCCTTGCCCTCAACCTCCGCCTCACGTTCAAGCTCTCTTGCCCTTGCATCAAGATTTTTCTCCAGATAATACTGTGAGATTCACAAAAAAATTTGGGCCACAAAACCATTAGCATCCAATATTTATGATAAAAATAATTTCCAGACTTCGACTAGTCCCATGCAGGATTAATAAGAAACTTTGGTTTCTTAATCTTCAATATATCAAGCGATGATTTTGGAGTAAAAACAATGTGGCCTCACAATACGATCACCCAAACTCCATAACAAAAACATTGAATTGGCTAGTCAAACATCCATGGGAATATTCATTGTGGTCAAACAAAACCTGAACATGAAACAGGCTTGAAATATATGGGCCCCATTTTAGATATCAGTATTGCGACTTTACTACCATCACTCTAGCTGAATAGTATGCAAAACATGTATAGTTTCAAGATGAGGGGAGAAAAGCAAACGGAATACTTACATTGTAATCGCCTGCATAATCCTGTAACTTGCCATCTTTGATTTCCACTACTCTATTAACTATTTGCTTTATGAAGTACCGGTCGTGAGAAACTGTAATGACTGTGCCACTGTATTCTGATATGGCCTCCTGGCGTCACAATCAGGCATGTATTGACAACAATATCTAAAGCAAAATAAAAGTAAAGGAATGGAAACAAATATAGAAAAAAACCAAACCTCAAGCATCTCTTTTGAAGGTATATCCAAGTGGTTAGTTGGTTCATCCAAAACTAGTAAAGTTGAAGGTTTTACCATGAATTTGCAAAATGCTAGACGTGCCTGAGTGAAACATAAACACAACACCCAAAACTTCAAGCTTCATTAAAATAAAAAAAAAAATAAAACCGTAAAAAACAGAAGGCTGCAAAATTAAATTAAAAAAAAAAAGGTATAAAAAACATGGGGTACAATGTGTTTCATTAATACAAAGCTATAAAAATGAATTCACTTGACCAATAACAACAAGCTAGTTATCAAGTATCAAAAGTCTAATCATAGGAGAAAGCATACAATTAATTAAGGCCACAGGTTCCTATTAAATTAGTTTATACAATATATAGAAGGGGAAATATGTTAAAACTTTGGTCAGTTTTATTATTTTTTAGTCGAAAAAATATCCTTGTAAATTATTACAATCGGTGAATATTTAGAGTATGGTCACTAATAGGAATCATATTCAGTTTAAAATGTTTCCAATTTGGAAGATCTCCAATGCGTAATGGTTGTCATTTTATTAGTTGTGTACTATACTTCTGATAAGGTTAATATTCATAAGTGGACTAACGAACTAAATTAGAAGCAAAATGACCAACTAAACTGTAGGAGAACCAACAGAATTAGATGTGTTTCTATTACATTTAATCAAAACCAACCTCTAAACTGATATAGCTAATGGTTTGTTAGCATATATCTAAAACTTTGATAATTGTATTGTCATTTTTAGACTGATTTCCTTCTGCAGATCCCTCAAGAATCATATTCATCATGTCCACTGTAAGTAGCCACGAATGAACACTGAAAAGGAATTATTTTATGCACATCAAAAGCCCCATGCTAAGTAGGACAAGGTGCAAACTATGATATGCATCATACCTAGGAGAATATAACTTAACTTCATCTAGCTATATCTGTGAAAAAGGAACTCACATGGCGCTTGTACTGTCCTGTTGAAGTCAACAGCATATATCAAGAAGCATCAAAAATCATAGATAGCATTGAAACAAACCCAAGTATCCATCTCATTAAAAAGGACTACAAAAATAAACTATGATAGTCATTGAAGGAAATATCATTTGTCTTCTCATCCAATTTCATTTGATAATGAATGTTAAACTAGTCTAGTATCATGAACTCCATATAAATTGATATCTAGTGAAGAATAAAAGAAATTTTCAACAAATGACTCAAAAGGAAAAACAAATTCTGTAAAACAAAGATGTGAGATTCAAGATTTTATAGGAAAATCCCGATTTAGTTTACCTTCTCACCACCACTCAACAGTGAAACCTTTCTATCAAGCATATCCACTTTGAAGTTAAAACGACCAAGGAGTCCCTTTATATTGTCAAGTCTCCAGTCCTCTGCAAATTCTTCCACTGTTTGAAGTACCGTTTTATCTAAATCAAGTGCCTCAGCCTAAAAAGAGAACAGATTATTTATTGTCTAACAATTAAAAATAGAAAGAAACCATGAAGGGCTAGAAAGCACAGGATTGAAGGGAAATGACATCTGATTGATGAATATACCATACCTGATTCTGCTCAAAATAGTTTGGTAGTACATTATGTTCCCCGAGCACAATTTTGCCTCTACTTGGCTTCTCTAAACCCATGATCAGTTTCAGTAAAGTACTCTTCCCACATCCATTTGGACCAATAATAGCAACTTTCTCGCCTCTCTCTATCATAAGATTTGTCTTATTAAAGAGCACCTGGAACAAAAGCAACCAATGACCATAAATAACATGTCTAGAAGATCACCGGGAAACAGAGAACTCAATATTTCAAAATATCTTCCCTGTAATGTAGCTCACCTTATCCTCATAACCAAATTCCAAATTATTAACCGCAACAACAGATCTTCCACTTCTCCCACGCTCTGGAAACCTGATCTTCATTTGTTTGCGTTGAAATGGCTTCTCTATTTGATCCCCTTCTTGAAGTCTCTCCAGTTTCTGTGATGATGAAAAACTAAATTTTTAGGACATGTTCAGTGAAACTGAAGCAGCCAGGAAAAAATGTAGAAGCTAGGTTGTAGAGATTAGATGACCATACGCAGTAGGGAAAAAAACTCTAGATATTAAAGGCGGGAACAAAAAATTGGGGCAGTATTAAGTTGTTATCTACTGGGTTACCAGTCAATTTTACTTCTGTAAAATTATCTAATTACAGAGCGACAATAACAAGGAATAGTTATGAATTTGGTCAAAAAAACACAATAAAATTCCATGTGGCGGGTTTGGTAGCTTATAAATTGCCACACAGACAAACACAAGTAGTAGGCTAACTTAAAAGGGGAAGAGAAATTTCAGTCTAAGCAACTAAACAAACTTGATCACATTTGATTTTCTGAATTCCATTTGTCTTTGATTTCATACGGGAAGCAGACAAGAAAGGCATTACAGCATTAAGGTATTCAGAGTTTTAGTAAAATTAGACAACCATCTCCGGAATACGCAAATACACTGTGATGTAATACAACAATTACATAACTGTAAGAAATGCATCAGAATAATAGATGGGAAACATACTAATACACAACAGGCATAGACTGAATCTTTCTGTACAGTAGCTCTAGATATCAAGAAGGTATTGAATGATAAACAAGAAAAGAATATTTCAAAATTAAGTTTGATGAAAAAAAAAAAAAATGGAGCTCAACTCTCACTGTACCTTCTCAGCAGACGAAGCACGGCCAGAGTTTGCTCCAGCACCCAACCTACTTATTAAATCTCTTGTGTGCTCAATTTCCTTCTGCTGCTTCTCCCAAGCAGCAAGCTGAGCTTCAACCCATTCTGCTTTTGATATGATGTATTGAGAATAATTTCCCTCAAATGTCCTTGACACACCCATATCAGTTTCCACAATTTTCGTACACAATTGATCAAGAAAGGCTCTGTCATGAGAAATGACGACCATTGGCACATCTTGCTTCTGGAGGTAACCTTCA